AGAAGGCAGTTCCATGACAAGTTGGCCACTATGAAGAAAGTGGGCAGTTATAGAGCGATCAAGCAGTTTTTAAGCGGTTCATCATGAAGAGATTATTCAGGGAGTATAAAAGGAAGAAAAGACATGGAGCAGAATACCCCGAATCAAACACTCTCAAACAAAGAATATGTAACTTTCAATTTTTTAGTTTCGATTTAAAACACTTCTTTTCAGTAACTCGTGTACTTGTGCCCCTTGGAGGCATTCTGTTTTATTTTTCCAATTGTAAAGTCATAGCCAATAAAAACGCCCCTTTTTGGGGACTTTGTCTCAAGAGGTTTGTCCCTTACACAATCGTCTGATCCCTTTTTAATTGTTAGCGACTAACCTGCGCGAAACAATTTGGCACACCCAGTGGGACACGTGGTGTTTGGTGTTGAAGATACAAAAGGTAAAACAATATGCATCAGAGATCCAATAAGGAAGCAGCAAGTCAGGGAGGAGTCTAGTCTGTGATCGAGTGATATGAGGAGCAGCATAACTCTCCACGAACAGATGGACAGAATCAGAGCAGTAACAGTCGTTACGAATCAATGACAGAGTTGAGTCCTCGAACTATGCGTGCACTACTTGGAGAACTCACACAAGATGTCGTTGAACAAGTAAATCTTCGAAATATTCATAATATGGAAAGATTTACCCAGAATGGGAGTGCACATTATGACAACATGGCCAAACAACTGAATACTTTGAACGAAATAATGAATAAGTTAGTAGGCCAAATTTGTCAACCAGTTATGCCTCTTGCAGACCACTGGACAATTGTGGGACATAATCCCCCAGTTCTAAATCCAAGTCAAGGGATAGAACCACATTTCGGTCTCTCTGCTTCAAACCAAGGGGATGATGTAATACCAAATCAGAATAATGGTAGTGGTACTCCTAACTTGGGGGGTAATCCAAATGTAAGAGATAATGTCCTAAATAATGGGCAGAATATCCTACGTGTTAATGAGGAAATAAATGTTCAGGCTAATGGTAACAATGGCCAAAATTATGGTAACTTTGTTGCCAATCAAGGACCAAACATTAGGCCTCAAACAAATCAACCGATTAACCAACTTGTAGGAATTTCATATGACCCTAACGTCATGTTGAGATTCAAATTATGAAAATCGTACAGGATCAGATGGCTTTTGGGGTACGTCCTGTCATTAGGCTGACTTACACAAAGTCATATCCTGATTGGGTAGACCAAACATATCCATGGCCTAGAGGGTATAAAGTACCAGAATTCTCACCGTTTACCAATTTAGGGGAGGTGTCTACTCTAGAACACATAGGGTGATTCACACTGCAAAGTGGTGAGGCAACTGATTATCATAAAATGAGGCTTTTCCCTAATTTATTAACAGGAGTAGCTTTTTCCTAGTTCATTAATTTGCCAGCGAACTCTGTTCAAACATGGCAACAATTGAAACAATTATCCCACGCTCAGTTTTATAAGACTGAGTTTGAAGTTACGTTGGCCGATTTGGCGAATCTACGTCAAATGCCAAACGAATGGGTAGAAGGTTTCCTCCAAAGGTTCAAGACAGCAAGATGTAAATGTTTTGTACCTTTACCTTAAAAAGAGTTTGTCAAAATCGCTCAAGATTGTTTAAGCTTTGATTTGAAAAAGAAATTCCAAGACAAGGAATTTCCTAACCTTTTCCAATTAATCGCGAACGTGATTAGGTATGAACGATTGATAAAAGAAGAAGAGCAGATAAAAAATTCTAGCAAGGGGACTTATTATAGAGACCCAAATTTTGATATTCATACCATCAATAATGAGTCATACGATCAGACCGAAATGTGTTTGGTCAAATTAGTCAAAGGAGTGTATACTTGTTCTATAATGGCTAAGCCTAGACCATCGAACAAGGATAAGCCTATGAAAGATGAAAACATAAAAGCTAGAACGTTCTCGTTCGATGTAACCAAAGCTAATCTTATATTTGATAAACTATATAAGGATAAGCAGATAAAGCTGAGTGATAAGCATAAATTGCCAAACCCTGAACAAATTAAGGGTAAAAAACATTGTAAGTGACATAATGCATGGTCACATTTGACTAACAATTGCTTGGTTTTTCGCCATGTGTTACAGGATGCCATTGAATCAGGAAGAATTACGTTCGATGATAAAAAGAAGATGGCAGTGGATGAAAATCCTTTTCCACATCCACTTGGAGTGAATATGGTGACGTCTAGTTTCAAAAATAAGTTGCTAAAATTCAAGTTGGTTATAGATGATGGAGAAGAAGACCCTGGACCACATCCCAGTGTCTTTGAGCGTATAAAAGGGAAGAAGCCAAAAAGGGATGAAGACGTCTTGTGTGCAAGATGTAAAAGAGAAGTGAGTGGGAATACGGAAAAACCAGGGGTTTGGCAGCATTCCCATCGCCCT